CCCAAGTAGCTGGGACTATAGGCACCTGCCACAATGCTCAGCTGTTTTTTCATTGGAGTTATAATTGTTGCTTAGCAGGCTTGGCTGGGTTCAAACCTGCCAGCCTCGGGTAAGTGCCTGGCGCCCTAACCACTGAGCTATGGACACCGAGCCATGGCTTCTATATTCTTGATTTACCCACTTATGACTTCCTATTGAAAACTAAGCTTGCTGGAAATTAATGGTGTTTTTGTAATTTTGAAAATATAATTTTATGGCTGGCATGGTGGCTTATGCCTGTAATCTCAGCCCTTTGGGAGGCTGGAGTGGGAGGATTGCTTTGAGGCCAGACGTTTGAGGCTGCAGTGAACTATGATCATGCTATTGCACTCTAACCTGGGCAGAAAACAAGACCCTGTCTCTTTAAAAAACAAAGGAAAAAAAATGAAACCTATCTCTTAAATATGCCTCAGCTTGGCTGATTCTGCAGCTGGTCCTGCTTTCCAGTTGCCCAAGTCCCCTTTTCCACTGGGCCAGCTGCACAGGGCTGCCTACTGTAGTCTTTCTTTCCCTGTTAACATCCCCCACCTCCTTTTCTTGCAGAGGTATCCTTCCTGACCACTTGTGTGAGGAGCCCAAGCACTCTCATCCTCATCTGACTATGTCTTTCTTGGATTTGTTGGATCTTGCCAGAATTTCAGTGTTAACATGAATATTCTTGTAGCTATTGCTCAAAACTGTGAACATTTATTAGAGTGAATTATGAATTCCTAAAAGCAGAAATGCTGCCCTGAGCGGTGGCTCACACCTGTAATGCTAGCACTCAGGAAGGCCAAGGTGGGTGGATTGCCTGAGCTCACAGGTTCAAGACAGCCTGAGCCAGAGTGAGACCCGGTCTCTAAAAATAGCTGGGTGTTGTGGCAGGCGTCTGTAGTCCCAGCTACTTGGGAGGCTGAGGCAAGAGAATCGCTTAGGTCCAAGAGTTTGAGGTTGCTGTGAGCTATGATGCAAAGCACTCTACCGAGGGCAACAAAGTGAAGCTGTCTCAAAAAAAAAGAAAAAAAAAACACCAAAAAACCCCAGAAATGCCAAACCTGGCTTTCTTTTCTTTCTTCTTTTTGACCTTTTAACACATGGTAATATTTACTTTTCTTTCTTTTTCAGACACTACAACAACAGGAGTGTAAACTTCTCTACAGCCGTAAAGAAGGTCAAAGGCAAGAAAATAAAAACAAAAATAGATATAAAAACATTCTGCCCTGTAAGTATCATTATTCTTCTCAGTAATAGTCACCTTTGAAGTTTTTTTATTTTTTATTTATTTTATTTTATTTTTTTGAGAAAGAGTCTCAAGCTGTTGCCCTGGGTAGAGTGCCATGGTGTCACAGCTCACAGCAACTTCCAATTCTCGAGCTTAAACGATTCTCTTGCCTCAACCTTCTAAGTAGCTGAAACTACCAGCACCCGCCACAATGCCCAGCTATTTTTTGGTTGTAGTTGTCACTGTTGTTTGGCAGACCCAGGCTGGATTTGAACCCGCCAGCTCTGGTGTATGTGGCTGGTGCCTCTGTACCTTTTCCTGGGGGCTGTGTGTTCTTGTTAGCAGATCTGAGGCCTTAGCCTCTTTAACTGCAAGCAGTTTCCAAAATTATCAGCTGTGGCAGGGACTAGTGGACTCATTGGCTGAGTTCTTGCATTGCTGATTATTGAATAAAGGTCCCACTAGGAGGCTTTGTGGTTGTTTCCTTCTGTTAATTAATTTTCTGCCTGCCCAAGAGTAATCATCTCAAGGCTCTCTCTCCCAGTGTTAGGCCCCACCATGAGCCTCAGGGGTCCCAGGTTTGAGGTCTTTGCTTCTCCTCACAGGGCCTGTAAGTCTTGGGTAAGTCATGCCTCCACTGCAGGACTTACTTTCCCTCATGTGAGAAATGTACAAGCTCCTCCTGAAAGCTCCTTCAGCTGTTCTGGGTGCTGATCTCCTGAGTGTGAGTTACCGGAGATAAGGGTACATACCCACACTTTGCTCAGAAGAGGACTTGGTGAAAGGTCGACATTCTTTTTTTTTTTTTGAGACAGATTCTTACTATGTCACCCTTGGTAGAGTGCTGTGGTGTCACAGCTCACAGCAACCTCCAACTCTTGGGCTAAGCGATTCTCTTACCTCAGCCTCCCAAGTAGCTGGGGCTACAGGTGCCTGCTACAATGCCGGGCTATTTTTTGGTTGTAGTTGTCATTATTGTTTGGCAGGCCTGGGCTGGGTTCAAACCTGCCAGCTCTGATATATGTGGCTGGCGCCCTAGCCGCAGAGCTATAGGCACCGAGCCAAGGTCTACCTTCTTTAACACTCAGATGCTACCAGGCAGAGTCCAAGTTGAACCAAGAAAGGGCTGGAAGGATGTAGGCCTTGCATGAGGATCTCAGAAATGGCGCTAAACAAGCTGTAGCTCCCTTCTCTCAAGGGACAACTCTGTGCCAAAGTGCATCTTTATCTCTCTCTCTTTTTTTTGAACCAGAGTCTCACTATGTCACCCTTGGTAGAGTGCCATGGCATCATAGCTCATGGTAGCTCACAGAAACCTCAAATTCTTGGGCTCAAGCAATTCTCTTCCCTTAGCCTCCTGAGTAGCTGGGACTACAGGCACCCGCCACAACGCTCGGCTGTTTTTCTAGATGAGGTCTCATTCTGGCTCAAGCTGGTCTTGAACCCGAAGCTCAGGCAATCCACCTGCCTTGGCCTCCCAAGTGCTAACATTACAGGTGTGAGCCACCACCCCCCACCTATTTTTATCTCTCTTAATTCACACTATGTGGACATAAGGCAGGTATTCCTAATATCCCAGTTTCATAGATCATTTTAGCAAGGTCACAAGTGGGGGTATGTGGGAGAACTGGCACCAGAGCCCCCAAAGTCACTGCTCTTAGCACCATGCAGTAATGAAGGGGTGTCTTCATGGTGGGCCGTGTAAGACAGTGCACTGGCAGGAAGGGAAGGAATATTTAGAACTTCTTCTTTATGTCCTTTATCTAATGAAAAGGAAAGAAAAAATTTAAATCTGATTAATGGCTGTGCATTTGTCATGTATTTAGCCACCTTTTTAAGGATAAAGACTTGTCTCTATATATATTGTGTATATACTTTAGCATTCAAAAGCTTTTTGTTGTTGGGATCCAGGATCAAATTTGGGGGGCGTTGGTCTTATGTCTCTTTGGGTCAGAGCCATTTCATCAGATATTGTAAACTAATCCTGTGTGTGTATGTATGTATGTATGAAGCATAGCTTTTCTCTTTCTGAATACATACATGCATATATTAATACATGATGCTTATGTATATCACATCCATATGGGTATTTATAATGTGTGTAGGTGAGGCTGGGAGAAAGTGGAGGTGTTTATAATACCCAGCAAAGGCAGTGAGGAATTTACAGAGAGGCAGTTTGAGCCACAGCATGATCATAATGACCTTGGAGACGCCTCAGTCATTTTAAGTCCAGGTTTTTATTTCTGCTTAATGGTCTAATGGTAGTTAAGGTACAGGATATAGGAAAAGAAGGGAACAGCAAAATACAGTAGCATATAACCTTTTTCTCCCTTAAAAGTCTCAGTCAGACGTTTCCTCTGATTAATAGCTTATTTCTTGAAAGATGGGAAGACTGAAGCAAAAGAACATTGTTCTATATTATCTATAACTATATTACTAATTTCCATTATAAAATATGTTGCTTAGGTAGAGTACCTGGATTTTTATACCAATAATGTACTTTTTGTTTTTGCAAATTTTTTTGGCCTAGGCCAGTTTTGAACCTGCCACCTCCAGTATATGGGGCCAGCCTACTCCTTTGAGCCATAGGCGCTGACCCCAATAACATATATAATAATTTTATACAGAATTTGGACTGTTGATACTGTCAGGACCTTGTCTTCTAGGCATTGTACTTGATTATGCTTTATTTAAAAATACTCTTTATTATGGATATTTTCAAATATATTCAAGAGTAGAAAGAACTCGCATGTAGCCATGACCCAGCTTCAAGAATTATCAGTTCACCCCCAATCCTGTTTCATCTCTACTCTGATCCAATTCACCTTCTCTCCCCAAATTATTTTATTTTACTTTTTTTTTTTTTTTTTTTAGACAGAGCCTCAAGCTGTCGCCCTGGGTAGAGTGCCATGGCATCACAGCTCACAGCAACCTCCAACTTCTGGGCTCAAGCAAGTCTCCTGCCTCAGCCTCCCAAGTATCTGGGACCACAGGCGCCCACCACAACACCCGGCTATTTTTTGGTTGCAGCCATGATTGTTGTTTGGCGGGCCTGGGCTGGATTCGAACCTGCCACCTTAGGTGTATGTGGCTGGCGCCTTAGCCGCTTGAGCCACAGGCATCGAGCCTTATTTTACTTTTTGAGACAGAATCTCACTCTGTTGCCTGGGCTGTCATCATTTAGGGGTGTCATCATAGTTCACAGCAACTTCAAACTCCTAGGCTCAAGCAATCCTTCTGCATCAGCCTTCTAAGTAGCTGGGACTAGAGGTACATGTCACCATGCTCAGCTAATTATTTGTAGAGACTGGGTCTTGCTCTGTTGCTTAGGCTGATCTCAAACTCTTGGCTTCAAGCGATCTTCCTGCCTCAGCCTCCCAAAGTACTGGGATTGCAGGCACGAGCCACTGCACCTGGCTCCCTCCCAAATAATAATAATAATGATTATTATTTTTGAGGCAGAGTCTCATTATGTCGCCTTAGGTAGAGTGCTCTGGTGTCATAGCTCACAAAACCTCAAACTCTTGGGCTTGCGCAATTCTCTTGCCTCAGCCTCCCAAGTAGCTGGGACTACAGGCGCCCGCCATAACGCCCGGCTATTTTTTGTTGCACCCGCCATAACACCCGGCTATTTTTTGTTGCAGTAGTCATTGTTGTTTAGGCGGCCTGGTCTGGGTTCTAGCTCGCCAGCCTCAGTGTCTGTGGCTGATACTGTAACCACTATGCTACTGCTGCCGAGCCCTTCCCAAATTATTTTGAAGTACATCAAAGATACCATGTCATGTATCTGTACTTTAGTCTTCTCTTTATTAAAAAAACAAAATTCTTTGGTTTGAAATAATTTTAGCCTAGAAGAAGTTACAAAGAAAGTATAGAGGATTCCCACATACTATTGCCTAGCTTCCGGAGATAACAGTCTGTACCCATGGTACATTATCAAAGCCAGGAAATTATAAAGAAAGCATTATGGGGCATCATGTGGTCAGTGTTCACATTACTGTTGTGCTATTTGGGGTTTAATTTTTTATGTGGTTTTATTAAATGAACAAAGCTTGGACTAGTTTGAGAATTAACTGATTTGCCCTGAAGCGGTCTGAGTACTCACATGACTGTGGTCTCTTTTTCTTCTAGTTGATCATACCAGAGTTGTCCTCCATGACGGTGATCCCAATGAGCCTGTTTCAGATTACATCAACGCAAATATTATCATGGTATACTTCGCTTTTCAGTTTTCTGACCATATATTGCTAGCCTATTTCTATATTTTAAATCCTTCCTTGTGTTCTGAAAGCAATGTCAGCTGTTTGAAGATATGCTTCCTAAATTTCTAGCCCGAATTTGAAACCAAGTGCAACAATTCAAAGCCCAAAAAGAGTTATATCGCCACACAAGGCTGCCTGCAAAACACGGTGAATGACTTTTGGCGGATGGTATTCCAAGAGAATTCCCGAGTGATTGTCATGACAACAAAAGAAGTGGAGAGGGGAAAGGTATATTTCACAATCTTCTTTTCTGCTAATCTATTTTTAAAGTAAGGATTGTCAGGTTGCTATGTTAGGAATTGAGTATATAAATTAAGCTTAATCTACCTGGCCCTCTGGAAAAAAGAAAGTAGGAGAAATTTAATTACGATATGCCTCGGTGTAGTTTCCTTTATGTTTTTTCTGCTTGGGGTTTGTCGAGTTTCTCACATTTATGGATTTATAGTTTTCTTCAAATTTGGTTAATGTTCAGCCTTTGTTTCTTCAAACTTGTACCCTGTCCAGACCCCGTCCCAGGATACTAGTTACATACATTTTAGGCTGGTCGAAGTTGTCCCACAACCTACTGATACTTTGTTGATTTCATCTGGTTTTCTTTTTTCCCCTCTGTGTTTCTTTTCAGAAGCTTCTTTTGCCATGTCTTTTAAGTTAATCTTTCCTTCTATAGTTTATAATCTGCTCTTAGTCCTATCCAGTGTGTTTTTTTCACAGCAAACATTGTATTTTTTTCTATAGAAGTCTTATTAGGGTCTCTTTGATGTCTTCTCTCTCTCTCTCTCTTTTTTTTTTTTTGAGACAGAGCCTCGAGCTCGAGCTATCCCCCTGGGTAGAGTGTCGTGGCATCACAGCTCACAGCAACCTCTAACTCCTGGGCTCAAGCGAGTCTCCTGCCTCTGCCTCCCAGTAGCTGGGACCATAGGCGCCCGCCACAATGTTCGACCATTTTTTGGTTGCAGCCGTTGCCGTCGTCGTTTGGCGGGCCTGGGTCATATTTGAACCCGCCACCTTAGGTGTATGTGGCTGATTCCTTAGCCATTTGAGCCACAGGCGCCGAGCTATTTTTTTTTTTCTTTTTGAGACAGAGTCTCACTTTGTCACCCTTGGAGTACCAAGGCGTCATAGCTCACAGGAACCTCAAACTCATGGGCGTAAGCGATTCTCTTGCCTCATCCTCCCAAGTAGCTGGGACTACAGGCGCCCGCCACAATGCCTGGCTATTTTTTGTTACAGTTTTCATTGTTGTTATAGCTGGCCTGGCCTGGGCTGGGCTCGAACCCTCCAGCCTTGGTGTATGTGGCTGGCACTGTAACCACTGTGCTACGGGCGCTAAGCCCTATCTCTCTCTTTTTAATACATGGAACATTTTCGGCTCGGTTCCCGTAGCTCATGAGTAGAGCACTGGCCACATACACTGAGGCTCCAGCATAAAAATCCTATCCTCAGTTTTATGTGTGTTTTTCTAAACTGTTTTCTTGGCTTTTTGTTGTTGTTGTTGTTTTTACATAGAGTCAGAGTCTCACTGTGTTGCCCAGACTAGGGTCTGTTCTCTTAGCATTTATATCTGTATATGTTCCTATAGAAATAATATAGTACTTTTTTTTATGGCTGAAAAAGTGCTTTTATGCAGTAACTTCATTTGGCATCATGTTTTTTCTCCCACTAAATACATGTTCAAACTTCCTCTGTGAGTATATATTGGCCTGTTGCAGTTGTGTAGTATTCTGTGGTGTGGATGTGGCATGATTTATTTAGCCATTATGCCATAAATGGGCATTTAAGTGCCCTAGTTTCGTTCTTACAGACAGGGCTGAAGTGCACAATGTTGTTTTTCCCTCATTTGCATGTGGCAGAGTGTTTCTCTAGGTTAGATAGATGTCAGGAAGAATTGCTGGGTCGCAGGTTGTGCATGCTGTCCATTCTAATTAACTCTGCCTGCCAGCTGCACCCACCTAGTACCCATCTCTCCACACATCACGACACTGCAGGGCTTTTTTTTTTTTTTTTATTGTAACATCCCACACCTACAGAAGAGCAGACAAATTTTAGTGAGTGACAGCCCTCTGTGTTCTCTGAAAGTAGGTCCACCTGGCAGATTTTTTAATATGGAAAAGTTCTGAATTTTTATTTGTGTTTTAGTCAAAGTTCTTTTTTAGATATCCTTTAATTGGTTTATATAAGAATTTTGTGGATTGTAGCAGTTCTACCTAGAAGTTAAACCTAAGACAGATGGGAAATTTTGGATTTTAGCCCTCCTAATGTAATTTTCATATCTGTTGTGAAGGGCAGTATGATTTTTATACGTTTTTCGTTGTTCTATTCCTACTTGGTACCCTTCTGAATACCTTTCAGGCCAGATCTGGTCATAGTGAAACAAAAGTTTCCTTTAATAGTTGCTTGTGGTAACATTAGGTGTTTTTAAATTAATGAACCAATTAAAACGTCTTTGTAGTTTATGCTTCAGGCAAGCATTACCTGCCCTAAATGTGGACAGGAAGACTGAGCCCTTCATCGTGCTTATTGCGGGGGATTGTAACTGCAGAAGGTCACCTGGTTTTTTATTTTGAGACAGAGTCTCAAGCTGTCACCCTGGGTAGAGCGCTCTGCCGTCACAGCTCACAGCAACCTAAAACTCTTGGGCTTAAGCGATTTTCTTGCCTCAGCCTCCCAAGTAGCTGGGACTACAGGCACCCACCACAACACCAAGCTAATTTTTTTTGTTGTTGTTGCAGTTGTCATTGTTGTTTTAGTTGACCCGGGCTGTGCTCGAACCCTCCAGCCTCAGTGTATGTGGCCAGCACTGTACCCACTGAACTACGGGTACTGCCAGAAGGTCACCTGTTATCGGAGGACTTGGGGGCTGTGAGAAGAGGTGTTTTGTGTTGCTTTAGGGGATCAGTATCAGTCCCTTTCAGAAGAGCTTCCAGAGGCTCCTAGGGCAGACAAGCATTAGGCTGAATCTCTCCGTTCTACCCCTCACAGCTTCCTCCCAGTCCCTGCCTGGCTTTCTCATTCTTCCTCTTCACGTTGCAATGATATAGTGGACTTTTATTCTCTCCACAGGCCTTTCTGACAACCTAGTCTTTATCTTCCCAGTACACAGAAGAAAAACCAGACTCTGGACTCCATTTGATTCCTGGGTTTTATTTTAAAAGATAACATACTGGTTCTTACATATTAGAATTTGTTGGCCAAGGTTCATATGAGAGTTTGGAAAACTGGCTGCAGCAGTTTACAGATGTTTAAAGTCAGCTAAAATGTTCTTTTTAGAGTCATAATTTAATTATATGTTCTCTGGTGAGTTCCCTGTAGTGACTGGGAACACTCCTCAGCATTAATTGGCTGGTGACAGGTTTGTTTGGGGGAACTAAAAATTGTTTCAAATCTGTCAGAGAGGTGTTTGCATCTATAAGATACCGAGGGGAAAACTGAATTCAGGATAATAATAATTGAATGACCTTTCCTCAGTCCCTTCTCAGCCTTTTGGCTAAGATCAAGTGTTCTTACCAGTTTAAAAGACCTTTCCTCCTTCCATGTTTTTTTTTCCCTTTCAATTAATTGTGACTATGGTGATGTCTGCAACTGCTCTCTCATTTCCAGTTATATTACTGTCAGTTTCTCTGTCTTCTTAACATACGGGATCAATTTCTCTTGCTGATATTTGCATCTTGGTGAAAACCATGAAAATGAGTGGCATGGATGACTGTTCTAGAACACAGCAAAACACAAAAACGATTCTCCGCCCAGGACATTGCCACACAGATACAAACTCATCTCTCATTGAGTGAAATAGCTTCCTTTTTGGCAGTAGGAGCGATTTTCTTGGTGCCATATTTTTTAATCCACCTGCTCCTAAAGCCAGTATTGCAGACTTGGCGTTCCCAGGCACCCAGTTAAGGGAAAGTGACGTGTAGAGTAGGTATCAGATGGGTCTGGATATAGAAAAAGCAGCTGGTGTAAAACCTATGGGCTGCCTTTCTGTGCTAGAGCTGTTCACACTTAGGTTAGGTAAGGCACAGAGTCCTCCTACACTGGTGCGGAAGTGAAGCAGTCAGTCGGGCTCATTGGGAAGCCCATCCTCCTCCAGAGCCTGCTTGCCTTTCCTGTGGAGTGACTGGTGAATTTCTAGAATACAAAACTCAGTAGTTGCTAGATAGTACTCTCAAATTGGTTGCTTCCCATCTCTTTACATCTTTGGTTCTTTAAGATAGATACACAAACATTGACTGTTTTGACTTGTGCTTGGGCCAAGACAACTCTGCATGAACTGCCTTTCTCTTCCCACTGCTGCCGGGTTCTCCAAGTACCTGCTTTTCTTGTTTGAACTCTTCTCTCCTTTTCTTTGAAAACCTAACAGTTGCTAAGATGCTAGATAGGCCATTTTCCATGTTAGTGGTCATTACTCAAGACTTGAAGATTTGTTTGCTGCTGGTTTAGGCTTTTATTTTAGAGTTCATAGATATTAATTGTCTTTTTTTCTGATCCCTTCCAGAGTAAATGTGTCAAATACTGGCCTGATGAATATGCCCTAAAGGAATATGGGGTCATGCGCGTTAGGAATGTCAAAGAAAGTGCTGCTCATGACTATACATTAAGAGAACTTAAACTTTCGAAGGTTGGACAAGTAAGTATATTGTCGTATTTTAGAGATGTTGGTAACTATTTGTGGTATGCAGTAATTCAGAGACTTGCAGTTATTCATGTTTACATGTATTCATGCATTTGTTCACTCATTGATTCAGTAGCCATTTATTGGTTGCTTTCTATGTCTGTGGTTCCCAACCCCGGGCCGCAGACTGGTACTGGTCCATGGAAAAATTGTCTTCCATTAAACTGATTCCTGCTGTCAAAAAGGTTCCAGTCCATAGGCTTTTAGGAACCAAGCTGCACAGTAGGAGGCAAGTGGTGGGATCTGTAGTACTCATCATTCCCATCACCACCTGAGTTGAAATTGGTCCCTGATGACAAGGTTGGGCACCACTGTTCTGGGTGCCAGGTGGAAAGCACATGGTCCCCGCCCTCACCGATGTTAGGGAGATGAGAGGTTTAAAAATAAATAACCAATATAGCTTTCTGATTGTGGTTGGTCCGTGGTATGTTTGAGAGTGACTAGGTACTGAAGATGCAGTAAATAGGGAGGATCTCTGAGAGAGTAACACTTGAGCTGAGACTTGAAGCTGCAAGAGCTAGGTGTCCAGAGTAGGAGAGAAGTATTGTAGTAACTGCAAAAGTATTGAGGCTTATTTGTGACTAAATTCCGCCCATTAGTTCTGGTCTTACAAACCAAACTTTTTTTTTTTTTTATTTGAAGAGCCTCAATTTGTCACTTTGGCTAGAGTACAATGGCATCATCATGGCTCAACCTACAACTCCTGGGCTCAAGTGACCTCCTGCCTCAGCCTCCTAAGTAGCTAGGACTACAGGTGCCTACCACCATGCCCAACTAATTTTTTCTATTTTGGGGAGATGGGGTATCACTCTTGATCAGGCTGGCCTTGAACTCCTGAGCTCAAGTGATCCTCCTGCCTTGGCCTCCCAGAGTGCTAGGATTTCTCCTGAGCCACTGAACCCAGTCTGTATTTATTTTAACTTTGTTTTTTTTTTTTTTGAGACAGAGCCTCAAGCTGTCCCCCTGGGTAGAGTGCTGTGGCATCACAGCTCACAGCAATCTCCAGCTCCTGGGCTCAAGCGAGTCTTCTGCCTCAGCCTCCCAAGTAGCTGGGACCACAGGCACCCGCCACAATGCCCAGATATTTTTTGGTTGCAGCCATCATTGTTGTTTGGCAGGCCCGGGCTGGATTCTAACCCGCCACCTTAGGTGTATGTGGCTGGCGCCTTAGCAACTTGAGCCACAGGTGCCAAGCCCATTTTAACTTTGTTTAGAGAGGATTCCTTTTTCAAGTTTTTTTTGGAACACATAGGTGAGAGAAACTGCCTTTTCCTTCATGGAATCATAATCACTTAGCTACAAGAGGCCACATATACAAGTAGTTATGTTGCAGAGCACACACGGTGGCAGCACGCCTAAAGTGCCCAGTACCACAAAGGGCAGGGCTTCCTCAGGCTGGGGCACCTGGGGGCCATTTTAGAAGCTGGGCCTTCAAGGGTTAGGTTTCTATGGGAGAGGGCCTCCCTGGTGGGGATGTTGTTTGAACTATGGTACTGAAGTGCGAATTACAGGGAAATAGGATTTAGGGGGAACAAAACTAAGTGGGAAATTGAGAGAATAAACTTGGGTAGAGAAAGATTGGGGCCAAGTTTTTTTTTGTGTGTGTGTGTGTGTGGCCATTCATATTCATTCAGAGATTGAATGACCTCTTGTTTCTTGACATCATGCTGCTTGCCAGAGGTAGAGTTGGGAAACAAAGAAGATAGAGTCTCTGCACTCCCAAGAATACACTGTACTGGCCAGTAATCTCAGTAGTTTCACATATAAACATATCATTACCAACTAAAATCAGAGCTAGAAAGAAAAATATACAGGAGTTTTTTTGTGGTGAGGAGGAGGTAAGGGGCTAATTTAGAGGGGGAGAGGTTTTTAAGGCATAGAGAACGATGTGTCAGGAAAGGAGGTTGGAGGGTTTAGCCTAAGTGCAATAGGCAGCTGTAGTTGGATTTAAGCTTTTTAGAGGATTATTCTCCTCCCGTAGAGATTGCGGGATACAGGAGTGGGTCAAGGGATTAGGACTGGTCAGGAGGCATTGGCAGCTTCCTGGCTAAAGGTGATTGAACTGGGCCAGTGGCAGAGTGTTGGAAAGAAGAGCCCCACATGGTGCTCATCGTAGAGGTCCTTGTGGAGACAGATGTGCAGAGGTTTGATGATGGAGTGCACAAAGGGCAAGGACAGTGTTCAGGATGACTGGTGGTGGTCTAGCTTGAGAAGTGGAGTGGATGGCCGTGGATTTGAGGAGGAAAGGAGGACTAGGAATCTCTTTGTGGACAAAGCTTAAGGTGTCTTTGATACGGCAAAGTGGAGATGTTAGGGACGGAGGGGCAGAGGTTGGACAGGGAGGGAAGATGGAGTCAAGGGTTGTAGATGGGATTGATTTTGATCGATGGGACGTTTCTTCTGTAGCAATAAGGAAGACAAGAGGAGACAGTGGCTACAGATACCAGTAGGCGAGCTGGTGGGGCTGCATTTCTCTCTCTTTTCTGAGGCATGAGGCAAGGCCATCAATTGACAGTTGAAGGAAATAAGATGGACTGTTTGAAGAAAGTGGGAGAATATGAAACAGTAATTGCATAGCACGGCAAGAAATCCAGACATTTCTGAGTGCCCAGTTGATTGTTGAACATAAACATTTAGTGACACTAATTACCTGATATTTCTTCAAGGGCACTTTGCTCCTCAGGCATAAAACAGAAAGTAGATGGTTTGTCTAGGCCCGGGGACATGCCCAGTGGCATAGTGGAAAGATCAGAGTGAAGGCATGTGGGCGAGAGCAGTTGTTACCAAGGATGTGGACCTCTGATTGGATAAGAGAGAGTAGGGATAGAGGATAAGAGGAGGCAGGTGGAAAGGGGGAGGGTTCAGTGTCTGGGGGCGTTTGAGGCGGGCAGGGGACCAAAGTGAGTTGGTTAGTGGTGGCCCAGCGTGGAATGTTTGCGTTTCTGATGTCAGGGGTGGAGATGGGTGGTGGAGGCTCAGTCTGTGGCAGAGACTGGGAAAGGAGCTAGAACAGTGTAGCTGATGAGTAGAGGATGCTGGACAAAGACTCCGGGCAGGCCTTTATTCAATTTTAGTGACAAACTGCTCATCTTCTCATTATCAGGTGACCCTAGCAGTCAGATTGTTCTTTTGTTTGAGTGATAGATCATCTATCTGTCTCATTACCAGAGACTTTGAGTAGCAGATATGGGCAAGGCAGGGAAAAAGGCTTTGTGTTTCAGACCCTGACACAGGTGCAGGATGAGACCCATCATTTCCATTGCATTGCTGATAAAATGTCTACTTTTTGTTGAGCATTTTACTTTATTTCTAAAGTGTCATATGATCTCATTTGAGGAGGAGGAGCTAGGGCAGGGCTCTCATTGGCCATTTACCAAGGAGGATAATTCATTGACACTGGGACTCTCATTCCCTGATTGTCCTTTCTGTGACCAGTGTAGCTGCCTGATTTTTGGGTTGTTTGGTAACATCAAGGCAATTTTCTTTTTCATGACACTGGCAAATTAAATGCACATAATTCAAGGTGGTAGACATTGGTCTAGTTACCAGTCTCTTTTTCTCTCTTACTTTAAAATGTCTTTTTAAATCGCTTTGGAAAAGGTTTTGTAGCTTGGATCATTTCCAGATATGTAGGAAGAAGATGTAGCAATGAATAGTGCTGCTGTAATTACCTAACCTGGATATATCTAGAAACAGAGTACTTTCGGGTCTTCGGTTGTCTTGGTGCCATTGGTGATCTTTTTCTTTTTTTTTGAGACAGAGTTTCATTTTGTCACCCTCAGTAGAGTGCCATGGCGTCATAGCTCACAGCAACCTCCAACTCCTGGGCTCAAGCGATCCCCTTACCTCAGTTTTTCTATTTTTAGTACAGACGGGGGGGGGGGTGTGTGTGTCACACTTTTTGCTTAGGCTGGTCTCGAATTTGTGAATTCAAGCAATCCACCCGCCTTGATCTCCCAGAGTGCTAGGATTACAGGCATGAGCCACCTTGCTTGGCTGCCATTGTTGATCTTTATTAGTTATCATTATTCTGGCTAGGTGCCAGTAGCTCAGTGACTAGGGCGTCAGCCACATACACAGGAGCTGGCGGGTTCAAACCCACCCTGGGCCTACTAGACAACAATGACAACTACAGCCAAAAAATAGCCAGCCATTGTGGCGGATGCCTGGAGTCCCAGCTAGTTGGGAGGCTGAGGCAAGAGAATCACTTAAGCCTAAGAGTTTGAAGTTGCTGTGAGCTGTGACGCCACAGCACTCTGCTGAGGGTGACATGCAACACAGTTGAGACTGTCAAAAAAAAAAAATTATTATTCTCCAAATAGCCACAGTGTGCTGAGTCTCTTACTGTCTGCGGGGCAGAGGCTGTATGTTTTAGTGAGCTCACTGAGTTCTTACCATGGTATTGTGAGATGGAAATTATCATTCCCACTTTGGAAATGAAAAGTTGAGACTTAGAGAGGTCCAAGGGGCACAGTGTCAATGCCTGGGAATTAAACCTAAATCTAGTCATCTGATTGCAGAGCCTGTCTTCTTCTCTTCTTTGCATTAAACAAAAGTTAAAAATAGAATGATACTCTACCGTGTTTCCCCGAAAATAAAACACTGTCTTATATTTATTTTTTTCTCAAGAAGACACACTAGGGCTTATTTTCAGGGGATGTCTTATTTTTATTAAATACAACAATCTATATTTATTCAAATACAGGTAAGTCATCTTCTTCTAGAACCTGACAGGGGGAGCTGACCTTGTTGGTGGGGCTGGCTAGTGATGCGTGAACTCCTTTCCCCTAGCCGTTCCCACGTGCATAATAGGATGCCTGCGACCGTGGTTACCACTTGAGCACACGTGCAAGTGTGAATGGCTTGGAGAATGGAGCTGTGGCAGATAAAAGGCATTCCAGTCTTCCTTATAGCTCCCGCTTCCTCGGAAATGCAGGGCGTGGTTATGCAGATACACTGTATAGCCACGCCCATCACTAGGTCTTATTATCGGAGTAGGGCTTATATTTAACAAATGCATAGAAATCCTGCTAGGGCTTATTTTTTGGGTGGGTCTTATTTTGGGGGAAACACCATAGTACAAGTGAGGGGGGGCTGGGGAGGATTGGATAAAAGATGGCAAATAAGAATGAATGTCTTGAGGGAATGCCTGTTTCCTTATCTGCTGAGAGGAGAGTCCTAAGTCCCTGGAGGCCTCAGTTGCCTCTGAAGCTGAGCGCTGTGTGGGTGAGGAGGGACTGGGATGTTACCTGCCATTGGAGATTCAGAGAGATGGTACAGGCTATAGTTTCCTTGAAGGGCAAATTACCGTACTAGACATCTTGATTCTCACAATGGAGGCGCTTCCTGCCAGCTCCATTGGCTCGCAAAGGATATAGCAATTTTGGAACCAGGTGATCCCTCAACCCCTTGATTTATTTAATTCTTTTCTGGTTTTTCTTGGCTTTACTCCAGGGGAATACGGAGAGAACGGTCTGGCAATACCACTTTCGGACCTGGCCGGACCATGGAGTGCCCAGTGACCCTGGCGGTGTGCTGGACTTCTTGGAGGAGGTCCACCACAAGCAGGAGAGCATCATGGACGCAGGGCCGGTGGTGGTGCACTGCAGGTGACAGCCTCTACCACTTCTCTAGGCCGTAGCCTGCCTGGTGTCCTAGCACCCAGGGCTGGCTTTTACCTACCCACCCCCAGCTCTTTAACTGTAAGGGAAAATTTAATATTTATTTGAGGCATGGATAAACTGTAACACATTAAGGGACATTTTTACCCCAAAGTATTTTTCTTATAGACCCTACAGGACTGCCAGGTGTTGGGTGGGGGTGAAGTGGGCACACACCTTATTCTCAAGGATCCCTTAGTCATTTTTGCTTGGTTTTCTTTTTTAATATAGTAATTTAGGATTCATCTCTTAGACTGTGATTCTATTCTCTTCTACTGTGGCATAAGATGTACTTTTTCTCCCGCCACTACACTTGTTTGCTTTACAAGATTCTGGCTGCTTCCCACCAAGGCCTTTGACGGAGGCTGCTCTGCGGATTCTGTGCCATTGTTTGTGGACTATTGATGTTCAAGTTTGGGCTTCATGATTACACTGGGAAAAGTTTGGTTTCCTAAATCTTATTCATTTGTTGGCCAGCTAAACATATGTGAAACTTTTTATTGGTCCAATATTTTTAAAGGCTACCATTTTATTGAGCACTTGCTTTGTGCAGCATCTGAGAAGTGTTTTTTTTTTTTTAAATAGCATCAATTATGTTAGGATAAAGTGTTTTTTTTATTAATGCTCATACCACCCCCCTACGTGGAGATGCTATTGTCCCCATTTCACAGATGAGGAAACTGAGCGTCAGAGAGGTTAAGAGACTTTCTGCAGGCACATTGTAGTGGAGAAGCTGAACTCCAAGAGCAGGTTGGACTGACTTTAAAGCCCTATACTCTTTTTTTTTTTTTTTTTCAGTTTTTTGGCCAGGGCTGGGTTTGAATCCATCACCTCTGGCCAGTGCCCTACTCCTTTGAGCCACAGGCACCACCCTATACTCTTTGCCAACATATTTTCAGACATAAATAGATAATCTTATAAATAATTTCTAAGAGCAGAGATTGTTTCTGTTAATATTAATAGCCTAGTTTTGAGTAGGATACCCCCATGAATGACTCTGTTGTCCCTGTTTTTTGTCCTTCTGCCCACAGTGCTGGAATTGGCCGGACTGGGACTTTCATCGTGATTGATATCCTTATTGACATCATCAGAGAGAAAGGTAGGTCATCTGAAGGGTGAGAAGCTACAGTTCCATTTTGAGGTTATAGAAGGAAAAGAGCCAAGAGAAGAGAAGTTGAATGTGAAGAATTTTTCACAAGGATCTGGGCTAAAGACTTTCAGTGTGTCTGGCTGAGAACAGAAGTGATGCTATAACATTTGAGCTTTTGGTACAAAATGAAATTTAGGAGGTGTGGACCCCACTGCTTTGGCCTTTTGTTTCACATGTAGTGGTGACTATACCCAGCCACCTAACCTTTATAGGTATGGGGTGCTATTAGCAAGTGAGAAGGGTGGCACTTGTAGCTCAGTGGGTAGGGTGCTGGCCACATATACCAAGGCTGGCGTGTTCAAATCCAGCCCGGGCCAGCTAAACAACAATGACAACTACAACCAAAAAATAGCTGGGCATGTGGCAGGAGCTTCTTGGGAGGCTGAGGCAAGGGAATCGCTTAAGTCCAAGAGTTGGAGGTTGCTGTGAGCTGTGATGGCACAGCACTCTACCAAGGGCTATGTAGTGAGACTCTAACGCAAAAAAAAAGAGAGAGGACCTTGGCTTCCCACACTTTATCATGTGAGCTGGTATCATTGGTATTGGTCGAAAGTTTAGTGCTGCAACTGTGGGACCTGTTTAGTTAAAACATTAAAGATTAAATCAGCTTTATCTCGAAGTCTACTAAAAGTCGTGCATTGCACCAGGCACAGTAGCAGACGCTTATATTTCCATCTACATAGGAGCCTGAGGCGGGAGAATCCCTTGAACCTGGGAGTTCAAGTGCAGCCTGGGCAACAGAGATCCTGCTTCTAAAAACAAAACAGAGAAGTTTGACATTGAATAAGTTCTTCTTAGCTGTGCATTTTCTCCTCATTCTTTGCGCTGTTTGCTTTGTAGGTGTTGACTGTGACATTGACGTTCCAAAAACCATCCAGATGGTGCGATCTCAAAGGTCAGGAATGGTCCAGACAGAAGCACAGTACCGATTTATCTATATGGCCGTCCAGCATTATATTGAAACACTACAGCGCAGGATTGAAGAAGAGCAGGTATCAGCCTGGAGGGGCTGGCATGTGGAATTTCATTTTCCTTCTCAGCCTCTTGGATATACTCTCCTTTTGAGCAGGAGGACAGGCTCTGATAGACAACCATTTTTATTTGGGACCAGCAATATTCTCTATTTAGCAGCTATGAATTTTCAGTCCAGAAAAGCTTAGGGTGTGGCACCATGTCATCCTCCTGGCCTACCAGATTAAAGAACCACCATGCAGAAAGGTTATGATGTTCCCAGGCTCACATGGCAAGCTTAGAACTTCAGGCCTTGAAGTTTCTAGCCTGTTCCAGCTTTGATCCGGGGCGTGTTTATCCTGCTTCCATTTCTTAAAATGAATGCCTCACTTTTAATAGTGCACAGCAGTTTGAACGACTAATTTGGTTGAGTTGGAAACAGTGAAATTTCAGTTTTAATAAGCTGTGCATAATGAAGATTGTGGAATTGGAGCCTTTCCATTTGAGTCTATTCATAACAGACATAAAGCAGAGTTAATTAGGAATATGCTGAGATGAGGGAAATGAGGAGAACTGCTCTTTTGGGGGCTGTGTATCCCCCCCCC